CTCAATATTTATCCAAGCATCTTTAAATACCTTTGGTATACATACATATACCTTGGACTATATACTAAGGAAATAAAGATGAAAAAACATAGTCCTGTCCTCACAGCCTATAATCTAAAAGGAAATGAGTTTTTAAATAAGCAAATGCAAATGCCATAAACTACTAGATTTAAAAAGCTACACGTGGTGGGGGGGTGCAAAAATAAACACCAATTCTGAAGACTCAGAAATGTCTGTAATTCTCTAAAAACAGTGTTACTTGACTTTCTTAGCATATTCTCCTCTAATTCAAAAGCAATGGTTCTCATTTTAGAGAGAATATTGGCAGACACTTTTTGAAAAACCCCATTGCTGCAGAAGATAGTTCTTTTTCTGACACATCCAGATAAGGAGAAAAAAAAAAAACTGGCCAATAGCAATTATAAAATACCATAGATTAGAGCTATGCATTCTGGGTTCAGAAGTGCTAAATTTTTATTATATATATATGTGTGTGTGTGTGTGTATGATGTTTGAAATGTGGTATATATATGTGGATATGACACATATTTGGTAATTAGTTCAGGCTTACTACTGAATAATAACTTGATTTGTCTTCCTGTCTCACTTTGTCTACAACTGATTCCAAATTTATCCTACACACTACTTCTTCACTTTCTCTTTTAGCCACTCAAAAATGGACAGCTTCCTCTTTTCCTGCAAAACCAAATTCAAACTGGTTAACATGGTGTATTTAACCTATTGTCTTCTACCTCTTAACCCACAAATCTTTATTCTACTCTACAATCCCTTACAATCCTATTCCATATTAATCTACAAAACTTTTCCAAAGTTGTTTACCCTTTCTTTGGAATATCTACATTATCAGTTCTCTTGAGTAGCTATCTACCTACATTTATTGTCAATTGATGTTTTTCAACTATTGTCTCCAGGTCAGAAGTGCTTTTTTTTTTTTTTTTTTTCTTTTGGCAGCACTGGGGCTTGAACTCAGGGCCTCACACTTGTTAGGCAGCCACTCTACCACTTGAGCCACTCCACCAGCCCCTGTGTAAGTGCTTTAAAGAGATTTTTTTAGTATGAGATGACATTTTTGGTAGTCCTGAGGTTTATATAACCACACCAGTGTACCACCTTTTGGGTTAACAGTTCAGATGGTCACACAAGTACAAAATACTTAATAATCTTCATTAGTAACTATGCTTTTAACTAACAAAGTTAGGAAGCAGCACAAGAAACAGATTAACCTTAACTATGTAACTTACAAATTTAGTGCTTATATGCAAAAATAGTTTCACAGCAACTTATTAGATCTCTGCAGTGAGTTGTTACCCTTTCAATTTGTATTGCACCTTTTGCCCAGGTATGTTTTCTTCCATACTCTGCACACTAGCAACATCTGTGTTGAAATGTAATTTCACTTCCAATACCTGAAATCCATTTCTCTTTCTCATAATCCATCCTACATTATAGGAGGGGAGGCCATAGGCACAAAGCAAAGTAGGTATTAAAATTAGTTTATTTTTCTACTTAAGTCTTAATAAATGAGAAGAAACACAGTAGTCTGTCTCATATAGAACATTTATAATACATAACAATCCATAAAGCCTCATGGTGAGGTAGGAACAGCTTTGGAAAATAACACAGTCATAAAACATACAAAAGGTTAGTTGCAGCACTAGACATTTTCTCTGCATCTGCATTTAATGAGATGATAACTGCATTTAACTGTGCTGTATTCTAGCCCAAAAGACAGGCAACAGCAGACACAAAAACACAATCTGAAAGTTTCAGAAAGAATCACAGAACACACTAATACACTTCATTGTGCTGTTTCAAGGCAGACCATAACATGGCAATTTATGTCTTTTTATATATAACCACATATTAATTGTATGTTACATTCCCTTCAGTATCTTTATGCCAAGACACTGATCCATAAAATTTTTGGTTTGAAAGTTTAAATTGTTTAACATACAAAAGGCTCTTGTGCCAGTGAAAATGACTGCTAAATATTCCAGAGCTTGTTAGTAAAACAAAATAGCATTGCCACATTTCGGTAGAGCTACATCCAAAATAGTGCTATTACAATTCCCAAGTCAGGGACGGTGAAACACTGTATGACACAGTTTTAATTTAAAAAACAACCAAAAAACCCTCCACCTTTCCAAGACTTTTAATACTGTTTTTTATCACTTAACTGAAACTCAGTATTAAAATAAATATTTTTATATTGTAGAATTACTCTCCATAGTTGTGTATGTGTGAACATCTTAAGACAGCAGGTTAATGACGTGTTTATCATTCAAATATCCACTTATAAAACAGTAAAAATCTTCAATACTAGTTAACCTACTAAATACTTCACATTAGGTTCCATAGGTCTTTTCCCTCAAAACTTTCAAAAATTCAAAATAAACTGAGAATGTTAACAAGACACAAACATACTAATTAACATAGCCTTCTACCTACTGTGATTTTCCAAGGTGCACTTGATAGAAATTTTTCCTATTCAAATACATACCTTTGGATAAAGTTATTGAGCATTTTCTTTTCTAAAATGTTAAAATACATACTGAAAAATTTTTGAAAATTTTGTTTTCAGATTATAGGCCATACTTTTGCAATGTAGATGCCCTCTAGAGAAAAATAAGCAATCATTCAATGCAAATGTTGACGATGGCGAATTAAATCTCTCATTACTAAGGCTGTATTTGGCTTGGAAAAATTTCTGGTTGGTTTTAATTCAGGTACATGGAGCACCTCCCTTCTCAATAAACATTAGAGACTACAGATACATTTCTAAACACATTCTACACTGATCTTTCTCAGATACAAAAGAGCCAGTAGGAGAGATGCAACTCCTAAAACTGATGCAGTGTTATAAAACAGCATATAACAATTAAATAATAGGTTTAAGTCTCCAGAGAATTCAGGGTATTTCTCTCATTTTCTTTCAGGAAGCAATAAGCTATTTTGGAAAAGACACTTAAATTCCACAACATTTAAATATAAATGCATGTCTTTTTTTTCTTAAAGATAATGCTAATATAGCTAAAAATGGGTTAGAAAGTGCAATGTAAAGAAATAAATAATTCTCTGCTAAAATTCGTGAGTCAGGGCCCACTGATTTTGCTATGACGAAGTCCTCTGAAAAAAAGAAAATCCTATGGTACCACTTTTGTTACACATAAGCTACTTAACAGTTAGGAAAGTGAAGTAACTAAAACCTAAAAGCTACCACCTTCAAAGCACTTTTGAAAAATAAACAACATAGCCCTTGTCCCAGGCTTATATGCCATTTTTAAAATGCTCACTTCTGTGATGGTGATGTCTTTTACTTTGGTGTTACACCACCTTTAAGAAACAGACCCTCAAATAGAGCATTCGTAAAGAAAAACCCCGCTGAATGTAATACATTTACCAGTTACCCTATTGTATCATTGCTGAAATGGTTATATAACAAATTGTTTCAAGATCTTAACAAAACCTTCCTTAAAATGTTCAATTAGGAATGTACATGATACCGTACAATTTGCAGCTTTTGTCTTCCCAGATAAGATTGCTCAATTTCATGCTTAAAACAAAAAAACCCCAAATCTTTCTGCAAAATTCAAAATAACTACCAGTTAAGAAACTGAATTAACATTAGATAAGAGAATATTAAAAGATCAAGATGTATTGCAAATTGGCAGGTTATGCTTTTGGCCCACTATAGTAAATTTACAAACTATGTTCCTAAAATTACCTTTCTCATTGGAAAAATCGGCTGTTCTTAAATAGGCCCATTGCCAGCAACAGGCTTATACTAAGGAAAAAACACACCATCTACCACAAAAGATCATCCCTTTAAAAAGTAACTGTTATATGCCAACACATTTATCTTTAAGACCTATGAAGCAATGAATTATTTTAAATCCCAAAACGTAGCCTTCCCCCAAGTAGTCAGCTATAAAAGTTACTGAAGTAGTCAGAATACCTTGTTTCTAGAAAAATAGAGCTATACATGATAACTGATATTAATTTCCATTCTTTTGAGGACAAAAATCTACATTTTTCTTTAAAAGCATAACCCTTCTCTATCAAGAAAAATATAACTTAAATCCCCTTAAGTATTTGTGTTGGACTTGAATTCTATAGCAATAATGAAATGGCCAAGAATAATTTTCTGGGTAGATATATTGTGACATCCTGCAAAATAAGCCACTGGTCAAAAAACTAAGCAATGTCAAGACACGATGACTTACAGAATCAGAATTTTTTCTTATTAATTCTGCTTTCTAAGAATTTAATACCCAAAATGCATTAATCATCTGATACTCTTCTCTCAAGTCAGTGGCTGTTGGCAAAGCACAAGCATTGCTATTTGTGCTCAAAAAGCTGTTCAAATCTATTTGTGACTGGTCACCACGAAATGACTTCAAAAAGTTTTTTTTAAAAAACATTCACAATTTAAATTACATTGATAGCTTGCACTCAGCAAGCTAAGTCAACATCCTTAAAAAATGTTTACAAATTTTGTGAGTAATCTTTCACCTAAATGTTCCTAATACCAATCTTTCAAAGAAAGTAATGCTGGTGAACATGTTCATGTTTTAGACTAATGTTGGTAGAATAAAACAAGCTGAGTCTCAAAGTAATTTAAAGATGTAGTCTAAATTATTAACATACAATAACCTAAACATTTAGTTTGGTAAACTTTCTTCACTGCTCTTACTCCTTATATGCCCTACTATGTGTAAACTGTAATCCAGTTTGTAATTGTCTCACTTTCCTAGACACTCAGCAATATAGAATACAGAACAGTAACTGATCATATTTCCTGCTAATAGCCATGAGTCACTCTTAAAATATGCTGCCATTATGCTATGTAATGATTTCAAAGGGCAAGTAAATATTACCTAAGTCATCAAAGGAAATAAACTTGTTGATTTTTAAAGGTCTTAACAATTATAATTCTAATAAACAAAGAATAACAATGGGGGAAAAGAAAAGCAAAGAAATTCCAGTAACAATTTTAATTTATTTATCCCCCTAATTTTTGTCATGGGAAAACCAGAAATCAAATGTCATTATGTCATAAGGTTTATACTTACTTTAAACAAAAATGTAACATAGTGTTAAAACTGGCTTTCAAAAACTGTTACAGCATGGCTGTATTCTGCACTAGTAATCACAAAGTTGTAATATAGAACTCTGTTATGCAGTCTCATTATGTTCTTACAAAAATAGAGTTAAACTGTGTGACCAGACAAGGACTTCAATTACACTACTTGGCAAACTTAGAATTTCAATGGAGTCTTTTTCCTCTTGCAGTTTAAAGCAAAAGTCAAATATCACATCTTTTTCAAGACTCACAAAGATGATTCAGGTTGTTTGTTTGGCACTTTTTTAATCTCTATCACAACAGCAGGGATGCTTTCAGCTTTAGTCCTCCTGGGCTTCTTCTCTAGATTTTCACTAAGTTCTAAGCAAGAAATGCTAACTGTTTGGGCCTTTTCTGCATCCTTTCCAGAGTGGACTTGTGGCCGTGTCCCACAGCATTGCTTCAAAGCACACTGAGTTCTGCAGGCAAGTTCACATGGGACTACACTTGATTTAGAGCCTACGCTAGCAAATTCAGGCTGTATGGTAGTAGCATGAATTCCGTGATTATGAAAAACGTCTTTAATGGTTTTAGCCACCTGCATGTATGATGTTGGGTCTTCACATTTTATATGAGCAGTGGCAATGATTCTGCTTCCAGCAAGTTGCCAAACATGTAATTCATGAACTTCCTCAACTCCTTCAACATCTCGAAGTTCTTTTATCAAATTTCTGATATCGATTTGTTTAGGAACAGTTTGTAGAAGAATAAGAGCAGATTCCTTAAGTAATGGATAAGTTGTGTAAAGGAGTATACAAACCATTACAATACAAAGAGTTGGATCTAAATAGAGCACCCAGCAAGGACCAACCTCATGAACCGGTGCATGAGTACTGTTAATTTTTTCTATAAATACTTTGCAGGGATCAGGGGAACATGGATTCACACAAAATTCCCTTTCAGAACAACCTTTCCAAAAAGAGTAAAAGACCAAGGCATTTACTACTACAATCACTGAACCCAAGGCATCTCCAAGGACATGCAGAAAAACTCCACGCATGTTAAGTTGTCCAGCCCTGTCTTCTTCTTCCAATTCCATATGGTCAGGTTCTGTGATAAGATTCCCATTCACTTGTACTTCCACTGCATCTTCACTTCTGGGTTTTCCTGGATCTGTGAAGAAATTTTAAAACACTTATCAATACATTTGAAGTGTTTATATTTACATCTTGTCTAATGCCTTTCAAGTGGGGCAGGTAATATTTTTCATAAATCACAGTAAGAGTGTGCTCAGAGCAATATAAATCATCCGGATCCTAGGAACAAGGTGGGACATAATGGCCAGGGCTAAATTAAGTCATGTACTGTTTCTCCACCCTCCTCCCCACTCCTGCCAAAAAAGTGTTATCTTTTCTATGGGAGCTGGGTCAGGTACACATTCTGCTGTTTTTGGAATGTACAAAGGAAAGCATAAATTTGAAGACTATCATCTATTAAATGCACCTGTGGATAAGTCTAATACAAAATGCCTGATTTGACACTGGGTTTGCTTTCCTTACACTGAGGTTGATTACTTGAAGTTAAAAAAGAAAGTTTCAACTTTGAAGCGTTTATCATGACTATAAAACACAGTCTCTTTGTAAGAAGGGCTTCAAAACTGACAAATCAACAATATAAATCAGCAATCACAGAGATGGACAGTAAAGCTGTGACTAAATCACTACCTACCCTAAAAGCTTTTAAGTCTAAAAGTACTGATCTCTTAAAGGAATTCCACTACACACCAGAATAGTTAGCTTAATTTGCTTTGGAATAACACCCTGTCAAGTGGAATGAGAGGAAACCCACCACTTAAAACTTTTCATTGCACAAGTTGAACTTCACTAGCAGGACATTCTGCACTTGAAAAGGAAAACTGTCTCTGTAGTACGATACAACCATAGATAAATAAATACAAATTTTACAAAATGGAAGTAATACCAAAGTGTTAATCGTTTTACTTGGGTAGTACTGGTTGATTTTCTCATTTTTTTTTCTAAAGCACTCGCTAAAAATGAGATCAATACATCACCATCACTTATTTTAGCACCATTATGAAAAGTCCTAAGAGCAGTAATGTTCTGCATGCCCAGACAGGTCGGTCGGCCTACGATTTTTCCAGGATGAGGGGTCAGTTAGTTGCAAACACACATTGCTGTTCACAAAGGAAACCTTTACTCGGGGTTTACAGGCTCTGAATACACCATTCTGAAACTTCTTCAATGACGCAGAAGGGCTACTTGAGCAGGGTAAGGTCTCCCTCCAACGCCCGACAACTAAGGATGATCGGGGTTGGTCCGTTTCCCAGGAGACCCAAGGAATTAAATGAGGAAGCATTTCCGATCGGGCTCCAACCACAACCCCACAAGCCTCTGGAAAGGGCAGCCGAGTGCGGGTGCAGAGTGCAGCGGGGTGGCGGTCACCTCCCGACCCTTTTCCTAGCGTGGGTCCCATAGTCCCCCCCACCCACCCGCATCCCAGACGCGCCCCACTTCCTGGGTCGGTACCCGGCGCGTGCGGTCCACCCCGCCGGGGGTCCCCGCTCCCCACACCTGCGGTGGCGTGTCCCCCTTCGCCCCCCGCCCCCACTCACCTGCCGGGTCCAGCTTCAGCCCGTTGGAGCTGCTGGTATTGGCCACCAGGGTGTTGGTCTCCTCCTGGTCGGGGCCCGGCTCTCCGGGGGCCGCGTTGCCGTCGCTGGCCCCGGCACGGCCACCCTTGGTGCGGCCACTCTTGGGGAGGCTGTGACCGTGGCCGTGACCCCCGTGCGAGTGGCCGTGCCCGTGGTCCTGGCTGAAGCCGCTGTGATGGTGGAAGAGACAGAGCCCCAGCACGTTGACCAGCAGCCCGGCCACGCCGACCCCGAGGACCACCAGCGGCTGCTGCATCTCGTGCGGCTCGATGAAGCGCTCGATGGCCTCGAGCAGGATGGCGAAGCAGAGGCCGGTCAGGAAGATGGCGTTCACGAGGGCGCCCATCACCTCGGCCCGGATCCAGCCGAACGTGTTCTTCTGGGTAGCGTGGGTCCGCCGGGCAAAGCGCTCGGCCACCAGCGCCACCACGAGCGCCAGCACGTCCGACAGCATGTGGAAGGAGTCGGAGAGCATGGCCAGCGACGAGGTCACCCGGCTCACCACCACCTCCAGCACCATGAACATGAAGGTCAGCATCAGCATGCACAGCAGCCGGCCCCGGTTCCGCCCCCAGCACCCCATGGCTGCGGCTCAGCGGACCCCGCGGAGGGCGCGGCGGGCGGCGCGGGGCTCTGCTTGCCGACCGGCCGGCCGCACGGGGGCGAGCCCGGGTCGAGAGCCGCCGCCGCCGCCGCCGCCGCCGCCGCGCCCGCGCCCGCGGGCGTCCTCCGCCGCGCCCCGCGGCTCCTCAAGCGCCGGTCCTCGCAGCGGGCGCCCCGGCCCGGCGCAGCCCCCGCACCCACAGCCGGGCGGAGGAGGAGACGGCGGCAACGGCGGCGGCGCGGAGCTGGGGCTCGCGGAGCCGGGGGACGAGGAGCCGGAGTAGAAGCAGAAACAGGAGGACGGCGGGTGAGGGCGGCGGGCAGCTCCGCGCCGAGAAGGCTCGGAGCATCTGAGGGCTTCTCCCTTGCTGGTCGCCTCCGCTGGGACTGGACTGAGGAGCCCGAGGGTGAGGCGCTAATGAAGGCAGCGGCCGCGGGAGCTGCACTCGGCCCGGTCTCGGGCGCCTTCTTCGCCCCCCTCCCCCCCACCCCCCCGCCTTTGCAGACGGTTTACAAAAAAACTTTGCTTTGCACTCGGAACCCCCGTTTTCACACGGACCCGAGCGTGACAAGGCCTCGGCGCCCCGCCCACTAGGCCCGGCACGCTTTCTCATTGGTCAGGATGCCCTCACGACAGCCGTCACGTCCCGCCCACCCACGATCGCTATTGGGTGGAGGGGCGAAGGGGCGGGAGCGGGGGGGCGGAGTCTCGGCTCCAACCGATGGAGGCGGGGCCTTTCCCTCCAGGAGCCGGGCGTGGGCCGGGGGCCGCGGCCGGGTGCAGCGGCGGGGAGCGTGGGGGAGGGTCTGGGGTGCGGGCCGCGTGCAGCGGAGGGGGGGAGGGGCGGGACAGGGCAGTCCGGGCGTTTTCGAGTCCTGGTTCCCGCGCTGCGGGTCCTCAGCCCCTAGCACACCTGCGCTGATCGGGCTGCAGACAGACTTTGATCCTCCGAGTCTAGTCCACGTGGGGGCAGGTCGGCTGGCGGCTAGGTGACAGATCGGGATCGGGGAGGGGCCGGGAGGGGACCCCTGCGTGCGTGCCCTCGGGTGCGCCCTCCTGTCGGAGGAGCCTGTGATTAGGCCGGCAAACTCATAAACAAGCGCCGTGTAACTCGTGTAACTCGTGTAACTCGGCTCCACACACTCCTCCAACAGTCTCGAGAGTGGCACCGGCCAAATCTGTAAATGTTTCAGTAAAGCAAATTACCCCTGTCACGATCGCCCCAGGATCGTCCTTGTGTAATGTGAGGTATTTCTGTCACTGATTTTCTAAGGGAAGTTTGGGGGACAACTGCAAACAAGAGAAACCTGGGCTCTGATCCCTGAGTGTCCCTAGCCAGCTGAGTGACTTTGGGCAAGTCACCTCGTCTTTTTACACCTGTTTCTTGGGCCTACGAAGTAAAGCATGAGACAAGTGGAACTCTTAGTCCTTCTAACCCTAAAATTCCAAGGCTCTATGATTTCACACTTTGATTAGAGACTACAGACACTGTGACTCCATCTGGGCTGCTAGAGGAGGGGGAGGGGCAGTAAGAATACAAAAGTTGGAAGCAAAATACAAAACTTGTAGACTACTGGGTAGCACTGGGGTTTGAACTCAGGGCCTCGCGTGTTCAAGGAAGGTGCTCTTAATACTTGAACCACTCAGCCAACCCTTTCTGTGTGATAGGGTTTTTTTTCAGGATCGGATCTCAAGAACTACCCTGGGGCTGGCTTTGAACTGTGATCCCCCTGATCTCTGCCTCCTGAGTAGCTAGGACTACAGATGTGAACCATGGGCACCAGGCTGGATGAAGTGCTCTTGATAAATTGTGCTACTGGTTTAGATTGAATGTAAATATATGTACTGTGGACATATATTCATATATATCTAGAGGTGAAGACTTCTGGACCTAAGATGGGTGGGGGCTGGAGTCATCAGAGTGGCCTGAACTGGACTCCAAAACCGTTAACACAGCTGATGAAGGAACCTCAGTTACTTTAGGTTGCTACAAGTGGGGTGCCGGCCATTGCCTTAAAATGTGTAGATAAGGCATCTGTGCAATTGTGCACTTTTGTAGTGTTTTAAATATTTTTTATTCCTGTAATTTTTTTTTTCCACTTATATATGCTGTGTTTCTCATGTTCCCATCCAGACCGGAGAACTGGATCCTCATCTCCTGTTTCTGTTCTACTGAATAGAAAGAATGGAGGAGTTTCCAAGACATTATAAAGGAAGAATTGACAGATTTTGATGGTTAATTGGCTGTTGGGAAGAAGAGAGAAATATGGTTACAATGTTTCTTTAGAAGAGAGAATTAAATGAAAATAATTACCTTTCTAACCTCTCAAGGAAAATACTGCTTAAGCAGGTAAAGAATTTCCAAATAGGGACAAAGGAGCAACTTTTAAGGAGAAAATATTAAGGCCCTTTTCAGATGCTGAAGTGAATCTGGATGGTGGCAGTGCTAAGACTGGATTAATGGGCTTTAATATTTCCATAATCCTACCTTTCTAGTCAGGCTTGCTGGGGTACACCTTGGGAGGTGGAAGCAGGAAGATCACTAGTTCAACGCCATCCCAGGCAATTAGCAAAACACCCTGTCTCAAAAATAAACAAATGACTGCAGGTATGATCAACTGGAAAGCCCGGGTTCAATCCCTAGTACCAAGAGGGGAAGAAAAACAAACAAACAAAAAAAAAACCTACCCTCTAATATAGGGGCATTTTCCCCTGATCACATGTAACGTAGCTTCAAACCTCCTTTAAGCCAAGCCTCTTTTTAGAAATTGAGAGGCCAGTTATGGTTTAAGATGTTTTCATGGGAATGGCAGGAGGCAGTTGGAGATTTTGCCTCCTATTGGAGGGTGCTGTAGCCTTTCATTTAAAAAAAAAAAAAATAGATCTCTCTGAATGTGAGAATGTGATACCCAAAGAAGAATCAATAAGGAAATGAGAAAGGCAAGCATGTTCAACAAACGGGGTAGCAAAAACTGGGAGCTGTTTAGACCCATAAAAAAGGAGGCTCTTCAGTTCAACTCAATAGCCACTTAAGAGAACCTGGTTTTGTGCACACCTTTGAGCCCTTCTCAGACAAAGTGCTTTATTCCTTCGTAACCTGCAGAAGGGGTGGGGGTGGAGTGGGAAAAGGCAATACATACCATAATCATGGCTCCAGTGACAGTTACACACCATTTACATAGTAGCAAACCTTTCAGTTAAACGAACTTTCCTTCTTCCTAATGTTGCCTAGGCAAAATACTCTGGTAGCTTGACTCAAGTTTTTCCCTTTTCAACTGGTTGTCCTAGCAATTTTAGCACAGCCAGGAGTGGATTAAAATGAAGGGAAGCCATCTCAGTACTCACAACACCTCTAGAGATTTTGGCCCCTGGTTGAGTAAAATGGCTTGGCTTTCTCTACCTCATTTTTGAGAAGTCTCCTAATAATTTGCTTAAGTATCCAAACTGACTAAACCCAGCATACTTTAAAGATGAGAAAAGCATGCTCTTTTTGGAAAGAGACTGCCAAGTTGAATTCGAGTCAAGTGCTTGACACACAGTCTCAGCCCTCTGAACTTCTTGTTCTCAGTGATAGCTGGGAAGAATCTTGTAGGATGCTTGTAAAAACCACCAAGCCCAAACACACCTCTGAATTTTGGTGATCAAAAAACCAGTGTATAAAGCTATGTCTTACTTGCAAAGGCAGAACAGCAAAACCACATGAAAACCAGATTGCATTTGACTTCAGTTGAGGCTAACTCGTGTCTAATACAAGGCAAAACTCATGGGGAAGTCAAATTTCATTTGATTTTTTTTTTTTGTCTTTTGGAACAGATGTATAATTATTACAAATATGAACTGAAATCACTAGCAACAACATAAGGGCCAAGGTTTGAATTTTTTTTTTTAGCTGCTCTCAGAGGAACAAGCAATAGAACAAAGAATAAACAAGTAACAATGCAGTAATAAAGTCCAGAAACAGTACAAAAGGTCTCAGAGGCATAAGGGAAGCCATATGAAAGAAATGCTCAGAACAGGAAGCCCATGTGGAAGTGAAGGGGAAATAGTGGCAGAGTGCAGACTAGAGCGTAGTCACAGCCCAGGACAGGGTTCAGCTTTTTACGTTTGTTTCTTAAGCTAAAGAATGGCAGGTGAAGGCTGGTGGCAAAGGGAACTCTTTTTTTTTTTTTTGGATACTGAAAGTCAGATCTAATTCTGCAGTCATACCTAGAAATGAAATAAGGCACTGATACATCTACAGAAAGGCTCCATGAAAGCATTTGTGAATTTTATGGGTGCTGTGTTAATAGCAGAAATTGTTAAAGGCTCTGGCAAGCCAGTCTTAAGTTTGGATTGAGTGCCTATTCTTTCTTTAGCCCTTCTTTTCTTGGAGTAGGAGATCATGATTAAAGCAGGAAGTACAGAAGTTTCAAAAAGAATAAAATTTAATTGAAAAGCATATTTTTATGATTGTGCATGACTTGTCTACAAAATTACACTGATCAGTATTGCATTTTGAAAGGATGATAGAAAGCTCGTAGAGCTGACCCGTAAAAGTTGCAGTACTGGGGTTTAAACTTAGGGCCTTACACTTTGCATGCACTCTACCACTTGAGCCACACCCTAGCCCTTTTTGCTTTAGTTATTTTTCAGATTGAGTTTCATGGGGTTTTTTGGCTGGGCTGGCTTGGACTGTGATACTCCTACCTATGCCTCCTGCATAACTCGGATGGCAAGTGCTTGACACTGTACCCAGCTTTTTTGTTGAGCTGGGAGGTATACCTAACTTTTTGCCTGAGATGGCCTCGAACTGAGGTCCTCCTGATCTCTACCTCTCTAGTAGCTGGGATTACAGTTGTGAACCATCACACCTGGCCTCTTAAAAGTTATTGTGTACTTTTTGGACAAGTTATGAAACCTCTCTTTTCATAATTTTTCAATGAATTTTTCAATGAACAGTTGTAAGGTGTACCTTCTTACTTGGAGTGAAGAGGAAAGGAGATGGAGTGACCTAGTTGACACCCTTGGGTGGGACCTTTAGGCTACCTCTTCTTGGAGTCAACATGAATTAAGGCCTGAGTTCTAACATAGCAAAT